CCCAGTCCATCCTTTATTAAGGAGACCTCAGTAACCATGCTCAAATTTTACTGTCCTATATTCATGGCCAAAGTCCTAGCAGACAACATGGTTTGGAGAATTGTAGGCACAAGGTGTGTAGACTTCATTTCTCATACAGCATAGTTAATAACAAGGTTCCAAGAGGGGAAATTACTTGCATCATAGTCCTTGAGAACTAATGATCATCATAGGTGATCTAAAGAATTTAGAAGGTTTGTGAGTGCCTAGAGTGAAAAAGTCACTGGGAGCACAAGGACAGTGCCTGGAGTTTATTTTGATGGATTTTAGCCCCTTTCATCAGAGGGAGGCCCATATAAGCTGGACTGATTTGTAACATCAGTGGCAATTTGGTAAATGAGATATGCATTGCACTAAAACCCAAGTAGGATGATTAGGCTTGTATGTACTTGAGAAGTCTGTCAGATCATCTCATTCATGGAGCTTGTCATCTATGTGTTGCATGCTTGTGTTCCTGATAAGTGGTGGTTGTGGTTAATTTCTTTGCAAAAATTGTGTTTGATGGCAAAGTCATTGAGGAGTCCATGTATATCTCAGAAGTGTCTTTGCAAGGTGAAGGCAAACTGAGACGGAGGGGCTTTTGGAAAAATTTTGAACAAAACACATTTGCCACACTTGTAATAGTTAAGACACATCATTTATCTATTGAGATGCATCAGATTTGTTAACCTTAGGTATAAGGTACAGTGGACATGGTGGGTGGCATACAGCAGTATGATTTTAGTAATTATCATGAGGTGCTTTTTTTTTTTTTAAATAGATTTAGCAGGTAAAATTGGGCTGCCTAATGGGGAATAGCTGGAATAATCTCCTTTTTGTTAAATAAATCTGAGGTAATAAATGTCAGTGTAAGAAGACATTGAGTTTTCTTTTATTGAGCCATCTTGGTTATTTTAATCTGGGATCTGTGAATTCTCATTTTCTCTAGTCAAGTTTTAACTTAAAAAGTATTTTATTCCTCATCATGTTGGACTAACTCTGCTGCTTCTGGGATTTTTTTAGTACATCTGACAATTGGAAATGGAGACAATAGTATAATTAAAATGAGATATACCAAGTAAAGTATGTATTTTTCTTCTGATACATATTTTGGAATTCTTCTAAAATTCCTTGTTAAATTTAGTTGAATCCCTGGTTAAGACTTATTGGAGCCACACTACTGAGTACACCTATGATACTTTGTTCATAAATGCATATATAACCTGGAAAGTTGATGTATATCTTATGCTGTAGAGACATAAGATGGAACATCTTTTTTTATCCTTTTTCATTATAAAATTTAAAAACAAATTTTTGTTTTCAATAGGATCAAATTATGATAAATTTAAATACAATTCCCAAGAATTCTTTCCACATTTGAATTTCTCCACTTATACTATGTTTCTTTAGATTGTAAATATGTCAAGCATTAATGAGGAATTGATTATTATGTGGATATGTCTTGTGGTTAGACAAGTTCTGATGTAACCCCTCTGTGTCCAAGGAGGCTGATTTTCTAGCTGATGTATGGATCATCTTCATTGCTTCTAATGGAGACATGCATTGGTATCTGGGAATCTAGCCTCATCTGCCCATGATGTCAGCGGGTCAGGACCATGGGAAATCTCCTCTGGCCTCCTTCTCAGCATGTGCCATTCCAACCACTCCCACCATCTTCACAGAATTCCTGACTCTGGGGCTTTCCTCATACTGCTCAAGAACTGTGTGGTTGGTTTCTGTGTCTGTGGATGTTAGTGTGTGGGTGAAAGGAACCTTGGAGAGCAGGACAGGTGTCTGTCTCTTGGTGGCATAGGTGACAGTCATAGATCTGAGGTGTTAAGTTATGTCATTCAGGTGCACCCTGTAGATCTTGGCTGGCCTAGGAAGGGAGACCAATGCCACATCCTCAGTTCTGGAGCTGGAGAAAGGGTGAATAAGGTTGAGATTTTAAAGATGTTTTTGTCAAAAATTGGTGCACTGAAAGAAGACCAATGTGTCTCCAGTTGTACAGAGGCAGCTACAAAAGTTCTGTAGAAAGACTGTTTCATCCAGAGCCAGCACTGTGGTGCAGTAGGTTAATCCTCCATTTGGGGTGCGGCATCCCATATGGACACCATTTCTAGTCCCGGCTGCTCTTCTTCTTATCCAGCTCTCTGCTGTGGCCTGGCAAAGTAGCAGAAGATGGCCCAGGTGCTTAGGCTCCTGCACCTGGGTGGGAGCCCAGGAAGAAGCACCTGACTCCTGGCTTTAGATCAGCACAGCTCCATGCATTGTGTCCATTTTGAGAGTGAACCAATGGAAGGAAGACATTTCTCTCTGCCTCTCTCTCTCACTGTCTGTAATTCTACCTGTCAAATAAATAAATAAAATTCTTAAAATAAGAAAGAAAGAAAGTCTGTTTCATCCAAGATGGCAATGTGATGGAGCTGGGTGTTCAGGCCATTTGAGATGAAACCTGTATGGGTGACTGTCGATTGCAGCTCTGTCACTGTTATGAACTGTCACTCACATAGGATACAGGCAGCAGCTTTACCCACTAAGCCACAGTGCCAGTCCCCAAAATAACTTTCATTAATGTGAATTTTACTGAATGTAATTCATTTCAACAATAACAAAGTTTTACTGTTTTTTATTGTTACAATATCATTTAATAAAATTTTTGCAATGCTTTCATTAAACCAAAGATAACTTTTGATTAATCTCTGCCACTTAATAGAGGTGGGTTCAGTTGCCATATATTTGCATGTTTAAATAATTTTTCCTCCGTGGTGAAGTTTATGTTTTCTTTATTTATGTATTCATGATTCTTTATTCATTCTAGCACTCCTTTTTCTACAGTGCAATGTAGAAAGAAAGCCATGAAATTTTCTTTTAAATCCTTGCATTTATGTTTTCTTCCAGGTATGATTCAGGGCACCTCCAGATATTTCAAAGAGCAAAGAAAATTAATACATCACCTGCAGATTGTGTACTTTTAAAAACATATTTATTTTATGCATTTGAAAGACAGAGTCACAGAGAGTAACAGAAAAAGAGAGAGAGAAAGAGAGTCTTGCATCTGCTGGTTCATTCCCCAAAAGGCCACAATGGTCAGAGCTGAGCCAATCTACAGGCAAGAGGCAGGATCCTTCTGCATCTCTCACATAGGTGCATGGGTCCTTGCCCTTGAGTCATCCTCCAGTACCTTCCCAGTAATATTTGTAGGAGCAGGATTTGAGGTAGAGAAGCCAGGACTCAAACTTTCACTCATATGGGATGCTGGCTCTGAGGACTGGGGCTTTATCCCACAGTGCAATAGCACTGGCCCTGTAAGTGTTTTTTTTTTTTTTTTTAATTATTCTCAGGTTGCTGTCAGTTTTCTTTTTAGATTTATAATAATTTGTTAATAAAAATGGAAAAATAAAGATAAATTTTATTCTTAGGGAATATATAAAAACAAGACAAATGAATTTGTCATGACTATCAAGCATTGAAGTAATCTAACATAAGGCAATTTGGTCTCATCTTTCTGTTGCCATAGCAAAATACATATTATTTATATTTTTAAATGAGGCTTCAAGGATAATATTCGAAATTGGGGGTCATGATGTCAAATACAGTCATTATTGTTATATAGATGATGTAGTGGGCAGTGTTTCAGTACCACCCTGGAAATAAACACTGAACATTCTGCAAGGGTAAGAGTTAGCTAGTGTTAAAACACAAATCAGTAGCATTTATTTTTTTAATTGTTAGAGTAATGCAGACCTTCATAATTTAGGGAGCTGACCTTGATTCAGAGATAGCATAAGGGCTGTGTGAGGAAAAAAAATCTATTGCAGGTTCTTTTATGTTTTAAGTTTTTATTTAAAAATTTATTTTTTATTTGAAAGTCAGAGTTACAAAGAGAGAGAGGCAGAGAGAGAGAGAGAGAGAGGAGAGATCTTCATCTGCTGGTTTACTCCCTGGCTGCCCACAATGCCCAGAGCTGTGCTGGTCTGAAGCCAGGAGCCAGAGCTTCTTCTCAGTCTCCCACATGGGTTAAAGGGCCCAAGGGTTTGGTTCTTCCTCTACTACTTTTCCAGGTCATAGCAGAGTGCTAGATCAGAAGTGGAGCAGCTGGGTCTAGAAATGGCACCCATATGAGATGTCAGCACTTTAGGCAAGGGTGTTAACCCACTGCACCACAGCTCTGGCCCCAAGATTTATTTATTAACTTATTTGAAAGGCAAATAGAGATATGGAAGGATGGGTAGTAAGAAAGAGATACCTTCCATCTACTGGTTCATTCACAAAATGACCACAGGCATCCCATGTGGAGCACCAAGGACTCAAACTGTTCACATGGGATGCCTGAATTGCAGGTGGAGGGTGCAGGCTTATCTGCTGCACCATAATACTGGTGCCTACTACAGGTTCTCAAACAAATCTCTCTGCATTTCCCTCAGTCACAAATGCAGATTATAGTACAGAATTTCTCAAGGAAATTTCTTTGGAAATTTGATGCAGAGATAGAGTATCTGAGCTGGCTTTATAAACACTAAGTTAAGTCTGTAATGTCTCTTTTAAAATATTTTTTTCTCTGCCATAATTGCATTGACTGTGCATAGTGTTTTCCTGGAAATTCTTCTCTGTTCAATCTCTTCATAGCTTCCCTGATGGTTTCTTGTCTTTTTCCCTGAATACTTCTACATTCTTCTGAACATTGCTCATTCCAGAGTGACTATTGTCCCCCTTTCAGCCTACTGTGCAATGGCCCTTGACATAGTCAGGCCTTTCTGAACAGAAATTCCTGTTTCCCTCCAGCTTGGGCATTTTTCACAGCCTTTATACCACAGGTTTGATCCCCTTTGAATGCTTCTGTGTGGCTGTCCAAATGCTCAACAAATCTGAAATGAAATGGCATCCTTCCTTCTTCCTCCATACGCATGCAGAAGTTATACAACTGCCATTTTTTGTTATGTGACAGAGTTGACATGTTGACCAGGAGTGTTCTATCACAGGTGATGATAACATTTGAAGACCTGGCTGTGTACTTTACCTGGGAGGAATGGCAGAACATGAACCAAGCTCAGAAAATCCTGTACAGGGATGTGATGCTGGAGACCTACAGCAGCCTGTTCTCCTTGGGTGAGTGACACTCATCACATGTCCAATGGTAACATTTTCTCATATTTGACAAATAAGTGAGCACTATTTATAAACTTTATAAATGAGGGACAGGAATAGAATTTGAGTCCATGAAGAATCTGATTATATACCATCTGAGAAGGAATTCAAATGGGAACATTTGTTGCATAGCTCCTGGACCAAGCTGTTCACCTTTAATTAACCCAAGATAGTGATTTCACAAAGTGTTACATTATTTCCATTAATAGGGCACTGCATGACCAAACCTGACTTGATCTTGAAGTTGGAGCAAGGAGCAGAGCCCTGGATGGGGAAAGAATGCTTACATCATAGCCTTTCAGGTCAGTGTGTACATAATGGTCAGGGAGGCTAAAGTAGAATCATTGCAGCAGATGTTGAGTGGTGCTCTTTCTATGAATTTTTTCCAAGTCTTACTTCAGACACAGTTTTTCTACAGTATCTATGGAGATCAGTATCTCTGGTAAAGGCAAAGGAAATGAAGTTTCATGTGTAAATCAGCAACTGATGAAAATCTCCAGAATTGCATATTATCACAGAGGAGTGTTTATGTAAAAAATGAAAGGAGGTCACTAGGGATGACAACTTCACAATGAGATAGAAATAAATTTTCAAGAAATTAAGCAGATTCTGGTCTACAGAAACAAATTCTTTAAATTTCTTGTGACTGTATACCAAAGGTGGTACATTGGAACTTTCTGCAACTGTTGTAGTTCTCAGAGGCTGAGGATATCAGATTTCCTTAGAAATATGGGGAAACTGTAATAGAGTGCAGATAAAACAGTTTTTCATTAGAAAAATCCCACATATGCTATTTCCCTGGGAAGACAGAACATGAGACAATCACAGATGCAAATCTTGTCCCTTAAATGTGATCCTGCTTTAAATACAGACACATTAAACTCTTCTCCACCTGCAAGAAAATGATCCAGTAAAAGTTTCCCATATTGATGTTTGAAATATCAGAGAAGTACAAAACAGACAATTTTAGAAAAATGAACTGGAATGAATAGGACAAGGAAAAATTGATTTCTTGGCAATAGGTGATTATTTTTACCAAACATATGTCCTTTCTTTAAAATCTTATATAGTTGTTTCACCTTTGTGAAAGGCAGAAAGTCAGTGAGAGGAGAAACAGTGAGCAAGAGATTTCCTATTAGCTACCTCCCCAGATACCTGCAACAGTTAGGTCTGACTAATTTGAAGCCAAAAGCCTGGCATTCCAACTATTCTAATCTGATGTATCACAGGGTCCCAAGCACAAGAGCCATTATCTCCTGCCCCCTGGTATACATTAGTAGAGAGCTGTATTTGAAGCAGAGTATCCTGGGCTTAAATTGGCACTGTTTTTGGATGCAGACTTTCCAAGCAATGACTTGTATTCATTTTGTTAATTCTATCCCTCTTAAATACAAGTTACTTCATTCCTTTTACATGAGTATGCCAGGAAAAAGAATTATATTTGATTTATTGACAGCACCGTTTTTTTTTTTTTTTTTCTCACTTCAGTTGCCATGAAAAGAGATGACCTGATTAGGAAAAACCAGAAAAATCAGGACAAAAATCTGAATCAGAATATTATGAAAAACAATAAGACATCATCTCCCAAGATCATTGAATTAAGAAAAACACTTCATTTAAGTTCAAACCATATTCCAAAACTGAGTATCAAAAAGAGAATCTATTCAGGAATGAAACCTGAAGAATGCAATGTATGTCACAATGTGTATCTGCACTGTGGGCCTGTTCAACTACAAACTGGAGAAAAATTCGATGCTACTAATGTACCTGGGAATGCTCTCCAGATCTGTGAGGCTCTTAATCAACAGCACAAAATTCAGACTGTGCAACAGGCATTTGAACCAATTGGAAAAGGGAAAGTCTTCAAAAGGAAAAATATATTTTGTCAATCTGAGAGGCATTTTATGGTAGAAAGTAAGAAGTCAACTGCCACTATTGGCAAGACAACTCAAATAGAACAAGATTTCCATAAAAATTCTAACCTCAGTATGCATCAACAAAGTCCCAGAAGAGAGAAAGTTTATGAATATAGTAGTTCTTTGGAACCTGTCATTGATCAATCACCTCTTAAAATAAATCGTAGACCACATGTAGGGAAGAAACCCTATGCATGTAAGCCTTGTGGAAAATCATTCAGTTATAAATTCTGCCATGCAATTCATTATGGTACTCACGTAGTGGAAAAATCTCATGTGTTTAATGAACATGGAGAAGCCACTTACCAGAAGTCACATCTCATAAATCATGAGAGAATTCACTCAGGTGAGAAACCTTATGAATGTAATGACTGTGGAAAATCCTTTGGCCAGAAGTCACACCTCATAAAGCATCAGATAATTAACACAGGGAATAAACTTTATGAATGTAATCACTGTGGAAAAGCTTTTGGCCTTGAGTCACACCTCATAAATCACCAGAGAATTCACACGGGAGAGAAACTTTATGAATGCAGTGACTGTGGAAAAGCCTTTCACTATAAATCAACCCTCAAAAAGCATCAGAGAATTCACACAGGGGATAAACCTTATGAATGTAATGACTGTGGAAAATCCTTTATGTGGAAGTCACATCTCATCCTACATCAGAGAATTCACACGGGGGAAAAACCTTATGAATGCAATGACTGTGGTAAAGCCTTTGGCCACAAGCCAAACCTCATAACTCATCAGAAAATTCACACAGGAGAGAAACCTTATGATTGCAGTGAGTGTGGGAAAGCCTTTGGCAAGAAGGCATACCTCATAAATCATCAGAGAATTCACACAGGGGAGAAACCTTATGAATGCAGTGACTGTGGAAAAGCCTTTCACCGTAAAGCAACCCTCACAAATCATCAGAGCATTCACATCGGGGAGAAACCTTATGCATGTAATGACTGTGGAAAAACCTTTGGCCGGAAGTCCCATTTCAAAAATCATCAGAGAATTCATACAGCGGATAAGCCTTATGAATGTAATGACTGTGGAAAATCCTTTATGTGGAAGTCACATCTCATCCTACATCAGAGAATTCACACGGGGGAAAAACCTTATGAATGCAATGACTGTGGTAAAGCCTTTGGCCACAAGTCAAACCTCATAACTCATCAGAAAATTCACACAGGAGAGAAACCTTATGATTGCAGTGAGTGTGGGAAAGCCTTTGGCAAGAAGGCATACCTCATAAATCATCAGAGAATTCACACAGGGGAGAAACCTTATGAATGCAGTGACTGTGGAAAAGCCTTTCACCGTAAAGCAACCCTCACAAATCATCAGAGCATTCACATCGGGGAGAAACCTTATGCATGTAATGACTGTGGAAAAACCTTTGGCCGGAAGTCCCATTTCAAAAATCATCAGAGAATTCATACAGCGGATAAGCCTTATGAATGTAATGACTGTGGAAAATCCTTTATGTGGAAGTCACATCTCATCCTACATCAGAGAATTCACACGGGGGAAAAACCTTATGAATGCAATGACTGTGGTAAAGCCTTTGGCCACAAGTCAAACCTCATAACTCATCAGAAAATTCACACAGGAGAGAAACCTTATGATTGCAGTGAGTGTGGGAAAGCCTTTGGCAAGAAGGCATACCTCATAAATCATCAGAGAATTCACACAGGGGAGAAACCTTATGAATGCAGTGACTGTGGAAAAGCCTTTCACCGTAAAGCAACCCTCACAAATCATCAGAGCATTCACACGGGGGAGAAACCTTATGAATGTAATGACTGTGGAAAAACCTTTGGCCGGAAGTCCCATTTCAAAAATCATCAGAGAATTCATACAGCGGATAAGCCTTATGAATGTAATGACTGTGGAAAATCCTTTATGTGGAAGTCACATCTCATCCTACATCGGAGAATTCACACGGGGGAAAAACCTTATGAATGCAATGACTGTGGTAAAGCCTTTGGCCACAAGCCAAACCTCATAACTCATCAGAAAATTCACACAGGAGAGAAACCTTATGATTGCAGTGAGTGTGGGAAAGCCTTTGGCAAGAAGGCATACCTCATAAATCATCAGAGAATTCACACAGGGGAGAAACCTTATGAATGCAGTGACTTTGGAAAAACCTTTGGCCAGAAGTCACACCTCATAAATCACCAGATAATTCACACAGGAGAGAAACCTTATGAATGTAATGACTGTGGAAAAGCCTTTCTGAAGAAGTCATCTCTCATGCTACATCAGAGGAGTAACACAGGGGAGAAACCCTATGAATGCAATGACTGTGGGAAACCATTTGGTCACAAATCAATCCTCATAAGTCATCAGAGAATTCACACAGTGTAGAAAGATTATGAATGTAATGACTGGAAAAGCCTTTCTGAGTAAGTCAGCTGTAGCACCCACATCAGAGAATTCACACAGGGGAAAAGCCTGATGAATGTAAAGACTGGAAAGTCTTTACCCATAAGTCAAACCTCAAAAGGCATCAGAGAAGTCACACAGGGGATAAACCTTCTGAATGCAATGACTTGGAAAAGCCTTTTGCCAAAAGTCAAGCCTTGTAAATAATTAGAGAAGCCATACAGGAGAAACCTTATGAATGTAATGACTGTGGAAAAGTTTTCTTTGCAAATTTGTATGCAATTCAGAGCTCAATGAATATCAAAGAAGTCACAGGAGAGAAACTTTATGATGGCAATGACTGTGCAGAAGACTCTGTTCATATGACAAACATCACAAAGCATCAGAGAATTCACATGGGGAGAAATGTCATGAATAATGATAGTAGAAAGCCTTTTGTTATAATTTTCAACTAATAAAACATCACAGAATTAACAGGGAATTTTCCACACAATTGCCTTTTTGTGCAAGTTCCTTTTCATTAAATAACAGAATCCATTAAGGGGAGAACAATAAGATTATAATCAGTGTGGATATGCCTTTGGTGCCAATTATACCTCATCAAGCATAACAGAATTCACATGGGGAAAATCTTATGAATGTAATGACTCAAAGTCTTTTACCATAACTTAGCCCACATTGCACATCATCAAATTCATACAGGGAAGAAAACCTTTGAAAGTAATCTTGTGGAAAAGCCTTTACTTAGAAGTCATACCCCACAAGATATCAGAGAATTCACATGGGGGAGAATTCTTATGAATGTAATGAGAGTTGGAAAGGTCTGCCAAAATCTCAGCTTACAACATCAGAATTCACAAAGTGGAGATCTTATGAATGAAATAAACGTGGGAAAGCTTTTTGTCATAGGTCATACCTCGTAATCCATCATCTAATTTGAACGGGGAGAGACTTTGAGAATATAATAAGGGATTGGCTCTGTGGCTCATTTGGTTAATCATCCCCCTGTGGCACCGGCATTTCATATGGGCACCAGGTTCTAGTACTGGTCACTCCTTCCATTCCAGGTCTGCTGTGGCCCGGGAAGGCAGTGAAGGATGGCTCAAGTCCTTGGGCCCCTGCACCACCATGGGAGACCAGGAGGAAGCACTTGGCTCCTGGCTTTGGATTGGCATAACTCCAGCTGCAGCAGCCATTTGGGGGAGAACCAATGTAAGAAAGATGTTTTTCTCTGTCACTCTCTCTAACTCTATCTGTCATAGAAAGAATTAGAGAGGTAGGGAGAGAGAGAAAGAGAGAGAGAGAGAGAGAGAAATATTGAATGTGGAAGAGTTTCCCTTCAAATAATGTTAAGTATTAGGACAAAATTTTCTGCTAGAAATCACATCTTATCCAACAGGGATGCATGTAACGGAGAAAGCTTATAAATATTAATAGTGTTAAAAAAGCATTTGTCACAAATCTATCATACATCAGAGAATTCAGATGGGGGTTTCTTTTTTTTAACTTTTATTTAATAAATATACATTTCCAAAGTACAACTTTTGGATTATAGTGGCTTTTGGCCCACATAACCTCACTCCCACCTTCAACAATCGAACCTCCCACTCCCTCTCCCATCCCATTCACATCAAGATTCATTTTCAATTATCTTTATATACAGATCAATTTAGTATATACTAAGTAAAGATTTCAACAGTTTGCACCCACACAGAAACACAAAGTATAAAGTACTGTTTGAGTACTAGTTATGCCATTAATTCACGTAGTACAACACATTAAGGACAGAGATCCTACATGGGGAGTAAGTGCACAGTGACTCCTGTTGTTGATTTAACAATTGACACTCATAAATAGATGTCAGTAATCAACCGAGATCTTGTCATGAGCTACCATGGCTATGGAAGCCTCTTGAGTTCACCAACTCTGGTCTTTTTTAGACAAGGCCATAGTCAAATTGTAGGTTCTCTCCTCCCTTCAGAGAAAGGTACCTCCTTTGATGGCTCATACTTTCTGCTGGGATCTCACAGAGATCTTTCATTTAGGTCACTTTTTTTTTTGCCACAGTGTCTTGGCTTTCCATGCCTGAAATACTCTCATGGACTTTTTAACCAGATATGAATGCCTTAAGGGCTGATTCTGAGGCCAGAGTGCTGTTTAGCAGGACATCTACCATTCTATGAGTCTGCTGTGTATCCTACTTCCCATGTTTTATGGTTCCCTCCTTTTTAATTCTATCAGTATTAGCAGACACTATTGTTTATATGATCCCTTTGACTCTTAGACCTATCATTATGATCAATTATAAACTAAAAATGATCACTTTGACTAGTGAGATTGCATTGGTACATGCCACCTTGATGGAATTAAATTTGAATCCCCTGGCATGTTTCTAACTATACCATTAGAGGTAAGTCCAGTTGAGCATGTGCCAAACTGTACCTGTACTCCCTCTCTTATTCCCACTCATATTTAACAGAGATCACTCTTCAGTTAAACTTAAACACCTAAGAATAATTGTGTGTTAAATAAAGAGTTCAACTAATGGTATCCAGTACAACAACAACAAAAATACCAAAAGTAATAAAGTAGTAAGATTTCCCTCAAAATTCAGGACAAGTGGTGATCAAGTCATTGTTTCTCATAGTGTCCATTTCACTTCAACAGGTTTCCTTTTAGGTGCTTGATAAGGGAGAACATATGATATTTGTCCCTTTGGGATTGGCTTATTTCACTCAGCATGATGTTTTCCAGATTCCTCCATTTTGTTGCAAATGACCAGATTTCATTGTATTTGACTGCTGTATAGTATTGTATAGAGTACATGTCCCATAATTTCTTTATCCAGTCTACTGTTGATGGGCATTTGGGTTGATTCCAGGTCTTAGTTATTGTGAATTGAGATGCAATAAATATTAAGGTGTACATAGCTTTTTTGTTTGCCAATTTAAATTCCTTTGGGTAAATTCCAAGGAGTGGGATGGCTGGGTTGAATGGTAAGGTTATATTCAGGTTTCTGAGGAATCTCCAGACTGACTTCCATAGTGGCTTGACCAGTTTCCATTCCCACCAACAGTGGGTTAGTGTCCTTCTTTCCCCACATCCTCTCCAGCATCTCTTGTTGGTAGATTTCTGCATGTGAGCCATTCTCACCGGGGTGAGTTGAAACTTCATTGTGGTTTTGATTTGCATTTCCCTGATTGCTAGTGATCTTGAACATTTTTTCATGTGTCTGTTGGCCATTGATCTCTTATTTGTTTACTTTTTTTCTTTTTCTTTTCTTTTTTCTTTTTTTTTAGTCAGGCAGAGTTAGACAGAGAGAGAAAGGTCTTCCATCCATTGGTTCACCTCCCAAATGGTCACTATAGCTGGCACACTGTGCCAATCCAAAACCAGAAGCCAGGTGCTTCCTCCTGGTCTCCCATGCTGGTGCAGGGCCCAAGGACTTGGGCCATCTTCCACTGCCTTCCCAGGACACAGCAGAGGGCTGGACTGGAAGAGGAGCAACTGGGACTAGAACCCCAAGTGCTGGCACCACAAGTGGAGGATTAGCCTATTATGATCCAAGGCAGGTGGCACTTAGCCTACCACACCCCTCTCCAAGTACCAGAACTCTGTTGCCTTGCACCTATAGTAGCAGGAAGGATCAGAGCAGGGGCCCATTGTGTATCTTTAGTGCTGAGGCTTGCCATATCTGGTACTCTCATGTTCTGGTCATTGCAGTGTTTGACACAGTATGAGGCACTTGGCAATTTGCATTAGATTTGAGTGGGTATTCATTATACTAACTTTAACACAAAATGAGAAGGCTTGAAAGTTGTTACAAAATTATGCTGGTGGAAAATGACTGGCAGGAGGTGGAGGCTTTTGGGGACTTGGTACCTTGTTCAATAGGTGACAACAGTGGCTCATCTGGGTCTATAGCACACTTGGTACAGACATATCTTCAATCATGGCTTGGAAAAATCAAGAATAGCCAGCAATAGCAGTTTTAGATTATTTGTGGGTAGTGAGGGTTTGAGGATGCTGAGCCTGGATGCTCTTGACAGGGGGAACTTAACTGTAACAGGGCTGGCAGAGCTCCATCATGCCACTGTTGTCCACCACCTCTCCCTCCATGTTCTGTAGCAGTTAGAGGCCACCAGTGTGTCCAGCATCTGACTGAACTGGTGTTCATTCTTTAGGCAGAAGGCACCATTGGAATAGTGGGAGGATTCTGGATCCAGGTATGTGGGAATTGCACTTTTTGTGTCCTGCTGATATGGGGACAGCCATCCCCATGTGTGTGGCCCTGATCTCTACTATCTTCTGCTGAGACTGATGACAGTTGATCCCTTAGTGCTGCCTATTGTGTGCTGAGACTGTGTAAATTTCTCCCATTCCTTAATATGACCTTATGGGGTGAGTGGGCATGTGCAATTTGTGTGTCTGTGTTTGGATCATGGGTCTTTAGGCAGTCAGCACTGACCTCAGTAGTGGGCAGTGAGGCCTGCAATGAATGCACTAAACAGATGAATCCTGTGAGTGTGGCAGTTTTAGTGGAGGCTACCCAATGCCAATTGGGTGAGAAGCTGCCTCTTTGTGGACAAGGGAGGTGAGACATGGCCTCTTCCTGTTTAGCTCTCTGACACTTCTATCGGATAAGTCACCCTTCCAGGTGTCTAGCACCTGTCATCCACCTGTCTCTAAGGCTGTCTGTGCCTCTGAGCAGATGGATAGGAGCTCTGTAAGGAGAAGTGTTTTGTGATTCTTGGAGCTGTGTGATGTTGAGAGATTTATCTGCCAATTTCAAAGAGGTCTGGCCTCTGACAGCTGGTGGCTGTGGAGTTTCAAATGATGAGCTGAGGCACAGCCATCTTCATTTGGTGAGAATTGCTGGATAGCTCCAACCAGTGCTTTTTATTATTTAATCTAGTATTCAACTAGTAACATAACAATTAGGAATGCACAGCCAGACCAATCACTGTAAAAGAATAACAAGCAAGTGCAAACAAGTGAGATAAGTATCATGTGATATATGTATTTTGGGAAGCCAAATTTCAAGTTGCTCCTGGTAGTGATGTTGCTCCTGGCTCATCTTCTATGCACTTGGGGTATGATAAGAAGTTTTCCTAAAGCAATATCTATTAATAACACAATCTGATTACTGCAGCCACATCCCAATTCAGAATGTATACCTTCACAAGGTCTGCTTAGGTAGAAGCAGGGCTGCAGCCATGTCCAATATTCAGGAAGCTATGTCCTCACTGTGAACACTTAGGCAGTATCCACTACATCCCCCTCTTTCGTTGTTTTAAACAAAGTGTGAATATCTTGTGAGACCATGGTAGAAATGCAAGATAGAATACATGTTCCAAAGAGACAAGCAATACCAAGAATTAAACCAGGCAACATGAAGGGTAATAACCAACTGAGCCAGGAGCTAATTAAATGCCACCATTCTGGAGCTAAGCGGAAGTGTAATACTTCCTGTTTAATCTTGCCTATTTCTTTTTGGATCAGATTAGATTTATTAGTAATATTAAAACAAAAGAGCCCAGGAAATTGTTGACATCTAAAATGTTGTTAAGCAACAGTAAGTGTTTGTCAGTAATATGATTGTTTGAAGAAGCTGGGATTACAATCTTTTCAAGTGTTGATCAAAGATAGAATGAGCTGAAAGAAGCAGCAAATCTGGATCAATGAGACCATAGCATGGCTACCATAGAGAAGTAATTGTTTTAACCAGATGAATTTTGGCAGGCATTCTGTAACAAAATTACAAACATCTGTCTCTCTCTGTGAGAGACAATAGTAGGAGATGTTAACCATATTAGCAAGTTATTAATTTAATAAAAATAGGCTTATAACTTTTGTTCTTTCTTTCATAATCTTTGAGTTCTTCACACCTTCTCTAACATGCTTAGGTC